CTTCAATCGATTATTATTTCTCGTTGGCATAATTCCCTTACACAACAAAAGGAGGTCATGGAAAATATTTATGTAGTCCAAGTCCAGCAGGAAAGCAATTTTAAATTTAAATCCAGTCCAGCCCACCTCAAGTACATGGTCAATATATGAAATTACAATTATGTCAATATCGCACGTACAGGCAGGCTCCGGCACAGGCTCCGGCACAGCCGAGGAGCGAGACGGACATTGTGCTTCGATCATAAATACCAATTAAGCCATTACAGTGCAATTATTTTCCGGGCTGCGCTGCATACGTACGCATTGTGTCAACAGACGCACGGAATGATGGAAAATCAGTTGAAAAATATTTCTGTTTATTATTTTTCGCTCTGCCTTTTTTTTTGTTGTTGTTTCGCCTTCGGGTTAAGAGAGGGGGAAATACGAGTAGGTGTGTGAGGTGAATGCGTTTAAAGGTGAGCTTGATGGATAACTTGAGAGACGATTTTGACATGAAATATAACTCAATGCGGATTGTACAGCAGGAGGAGAAGCACTGAGATGATGGAGCACATGCGAAGATGATGCTGTGGCTTTTTCACTTTTTGTGAGTGGCGTTTACTGGAAGGGTGGCGGGTGCTGGGGTGCGTTGGCACTGTTTTGAGAGGAATATACGGCAGAGTGCGGCGCATATCCCTGAATATATGCATATGTACATAAGTAGCTATCCAGGTAGAAGTTCTGGAATATTTTTAGAACAATAAAATCTTCATATTATTTACATTAATTATTTTTTATTATTATTTATTTATTATTATTATTATTTATTATTATATTATTATTACTTTTATTATTTGTAGCCAACATTTCTTTTAGATTTGTATATTTGTATATTTTTTAAACTTACAAAAATATTCTTCCACAGGGTATCTACCAGGTCGACTTCTCAGCAGCCTGACACTCTTGTTAATTTTTTTTCTACCGCGTAATGCGTTCGCATTGTGAAAAGCTCTTTTATGAGAAATTTATTAGCATATGTTTCTGCGAGAGCATTCCACATGATGCTGATGATGATGATGCTGCTGATGATGATGATGATTGTGTCATTGAACCCCCCCATGGAACATGGAAATTATTGTCGTTGTTGCCACCTTGTGATAAGACACTAATTCCCCGTCATGCCCCACGACAACAACAGCAGCAGCAACAATGCATGTGTTGGGTGTTTGGGGGGTGTGGTGTGGGGGCATTGTGTGTGTTTGCCACATGGCTAAGCCAGCTGCCTGTCTACCCTGTCTACTTTGGGCCAAACTGCCGCTGACTTGACTTGCCCCAGCTTGCCCCATCGCGTGCCTTTCACTTTCCGCTTGGCTCTCTCAGCAAACAGACAGACAAACAAACAAACAAACATCGGACAACGAACAAACATTGCCGGCATAGGCCAGTCACGAAAGTGTCGTCTTTACTTCACTTTTTTGTTGTTGTTGTTTTATTTTTGTTTCTGTTTTTTTTTTTTATGTTTTTTGTGTTTTTTTATTATGGCATTATTAACCCGTTTTCCTAGTTTTGCAGTCTTCTCGCCGTTTTCTCAGGGCGATTACGTCGCGTCGTTCGCAGTCTAGCATAATATTGCAATTTACTGGTTGAGGAAGCGACTCGACTGCGACTGCGACTGCCACTCGACTGCCACTCGACTGCAGCAATCGAGTTCACCTATGCGGCTGAGGGGGATGCAATGGATGCAACGGATGAGTCCAAATTGCTGGATTTGGAATGTGGAAAGTGAACGGACAGCATTGCGGAAAACCATTAAGAGCGAGGCGATTTGTGTTCAGCAATACACAAGAATAAAACTGAAAGCTGAAGAGCTGAGCACTCACACAGTTGACTGCAAAATGGCAAAGGAATACAGACAAATATTGGTATATGCAATCTATTGGGTTGTTTTAGAAACGTCGATTAAATGCACATTTAAAAATAAAATAAAATTAAAAAAATGAAATAATTCGATATTTTATTTTCCATTTTTGTGGTTCTTTTCTCGGGAATGTGCTATATCATTCCCCATTTTTCCTTCACTTGTAAAAAAGTGCCATATAATTTTATTATTATTATTAAGAAATTATAGCGAAATTAACTTAACTTAGAAGTAAACTAGAGCAGCAGCTGCCTTAAGCTGAATGCAATATAATTTCCATATGTTCTGATTTAATCTTCAGCTGTTAAATTTTGATAGTATTTATTTGATTTTATTTTATTTATTTATCTATTTTTTTATTTTTTTATTTATTTATTTATTTATTTATTTATTATTTATTATTTATTATTTAATAATTATGGGATCTATGAATTCAGTTCAAACAACCTGCAGAGTGGTCCCACTGCCATCAAAAAATATTGCATGTCAAACAGTTCTTCAGCAGCAGTTAATTTGTGGCCTGTGCATGTTGCTCATGGAATATGCGTATAAGTAACTTTTACTTTCAGTATTATAGCATACTTTTCTGATCAAATAAAGCTAGTGGCCTGGACGTATATTTATTCAAAGGCAAGAACTTGCTCAGTTTCCATTCCATAAATTTGCACCTCCACTTAAGCAACCAAACACCAACTTCGTACCACAAAAACACTGAGCTGAGCCAACTTCCGACACCAATTAAGATGCTGTTGCTGGCAATATTCATTCCCCTTTGACAGATCAAAAATGCAAACATCCTTTGCGCTGGTTTTCAGCTGAGGAAGAACTCAAAATAAATACAAACTCATCAACGGCAGCCGGCAGCCGGCAGCCGGCATCAGGGGAGGAGCACGAGAGGAAGAGAGAGAAGTCAGTGTCAACATCTTATCAAATGCTCCCAGACGACTTTTGCTGGGATGTGATGGGCGAAACAGAAAGGGATAAGAAGGTGTAAGAAAAAGCACAGATACAGAGGGGGGCTGCCTTATTAATTTTCATGGCACACATACACTGTCAGGCGGCAACAAAAAAAACCCCCACACTTTATGTAAATTTTTGGGCAAAGCATCAGACAGTCAAAATGCTAAGAAAAACAAAAATATTAATGATTTACCCATGTATAAGCCATACAAATGGTTGAGCAGTGGGTGGCAGAGGTGTGAGAGGAAGTGGGCGAGGGAAATGTTGTCCTTGAGCTTAACGTCAATTCCGTTCAGTCTCTCAAGAATTTTGTGCTCAGACTTTTTCCCCCAAACCGTGTCATTGTCTGATGTCTTGGTTTTTGTTTTGGTTTTGTTTTGTTTTGTTTCGTGGGTTAGTCGGGTGCAAGGGGAAACGTGACATATGCAAAAGGGTTAAGCGATTAATTTCAATATACAATATAGATATGTTTGATATACAAATTCCACACTGTGCATATCCATGATTGTGTGTGCTTATTGGTTGGCGGATATTCGTACGAGTGGAGTATCTATGCTAATATGAATTTATGTTTGCTGCTTGCCTTATTGAGAGTCATGCCATGCGTGCGCTTGAATTTGTCTTATCTGGCAAATGGAAAGTTCCCCTTGGAATGACTAGTAAAATAAAGTTTTTCCTTTTTTTTTTTTGGCAGCTTTACGTTTTTGGGAGGCATTAAGCACAAACACAGCATAAGCTCACATTTTCAGTGTACAATTTATTGTATTTAAAACTTTGTATATTCGATTTTTGCATTAAAGTTGTAATTTTTTTTTATTTTTTATTTTGTGCCAGAGTTTCAGTCTTTTTCTTTGAAGAAAGATTTGGCAAGTCTTTGAAGGACTTTTGCGGCTGGCAAATTTTGAAATATGCAGAGGAAGCCGAAACCCTTTTGAAGGCCCTTCAACTACTAAGGTTACAAATTGAAATGGAATGAAATAAGTGATGTAAAGGTCAGAAAACTTTTCTAAAGACTGGTCGCATTTAAAATATGTCACGGCAACAGGAGTAACGTAGCTCCTCAAGGCAAAGCAGGCAAAGAACACACAAAATCATTGCCCTAAAGTAGGCAACATTAACCGAAAAGGGACGAACCCTTTTAGCCAAATTCCCCATTTAATTAATTGTAATATTACTTTCCCCAAAATGTATTACATAATTAATTTAATTTTATGTTATTTTATTTTTAACTAGATAATTTTTTTAAATGTTTTAATAGTTTTAATAATTAATAAAAATTAATAATTTTTTTAAATGTTTTAATAATTTTTTTTCTTTTCTTTTCTTGGATAAATAAGCAACAAAGTCCTGCAAGCAATTATATCATATTTTATTTTCATTTAACTTTACTGACTGCATAATCCTAAGAAATATCTCCTGAGATATTTAAACTGCAAGGCTACATTTAAGCTATTAACTAATTTGACATTTGTGTTCCCTGCAACCTAAATATGCATGCAGATTGAGATAAGGATGTTTGCTTCAGGCCCCTTCACTACCAAATACAACCGTAAACAAAGTACTGTTGCTCGTCACAGTTGCAAAAAACACGCAAGGCTCGAGAACTGAGTCATGTCTGACTGTAACCTCATGCCAGGTCATTCCACTTGTCAGAGGCCCATCAGCAACTAGAAACCTACTTCTAACGGTATTTGCATTTTGAAAAAGCGCACAAGAAGTTCCGAGCATGCGCCGCAGAGCAGAGCAGAGAGAGAGAGAGAGAGAGCGTGAGCGTGAGCGCGAGTGCTACCCTCAAAGCACACTCGGAGAGAGCAACAGCAAGGAGTAGGAAGCTAAAGGGTGACAAAATACGGAAATGAGCGACGCAAAGAGGAAGAAATGTTACTTCATACGGCTAACAAAAAAAAACCCAAACCAGCAGGAATGGCATGAGAATAAGTAGTAGCAGAAGGAGAGGAAAACAACCCGCTAAACCGAAGCACAGACACAAAACAGAGAACAGAGAACTGGAAAACGAAAAAAAGAGAACGAGAACAAGAACAAGAACGAGCGCGTTCAGTCTGTCGAATGAAACGCGAACGAAAGGCGCGGCATTTGTTGTTGTGTCCACTAAAAACAATGGCAATTGTTAATAAATAAATCATAATTAACTATATATATTTTTGTACGACTGCAATGTTTAACACACCCAAAGTGCATTTAATACTAAATAAAAACAACAAAAGTACGCGTAAAAAAAGTAATAACGGGAAATACAAGCAATAAAACGAATAAAAAAAAAATCATAAATTACAAGCAAAGCGTTATAAAAGCGTGTATAATATTTTATATATTAACTGTGAAAAGTAAGCAACCAAAAAAAGAATCAATGTCAAACGTACTGCATTTGTTTGTGTTTGCAATTGTGTGTGTTTTGTGCGGGTTGTTTGTGTTGCTTGTGACGTTTGTTTGTTAAAAATCGAAGGCAGACAAACAAATGCAAAAGGATGAGCCAGCGGTGACAGGGGGGCGCTTGCCACAAGCAAATAAAAAGAAATGAGAGACAACAAAAAGTTCAGAGTGCAGCAAAAGCAAAAGCAAAAAAGTTAAATCAAATGTAAAGGCAAAAGCAGCAGCAGCTGATGGACAGTTTGTTATGAAGCCCCATCCAAAAAGAGAGTTGCTGGGCGAGTGTGGGGGTGGGAGAAATGCCAGATGCCACCCTTTGCACATCAAGGGAGAGAGAGTCATAGTACTTGTGAGAGCGCACCAAGGCCGGCTTTTCACTACAGCGCCAAAACAGAGAGAGAGCGAGAGAGAGAGGGCCAGAGAGCAGCTGAAAACTGCACCCAAAGAAAAATGTTCATAGTGGATAGTATACATACATGTATGGATCTATGTCTGTTGAAATACTTAGATATATGGTTTTAGCTAGGTAATCACTTTTTGTGAAGATTGAGACTGAAAAGAGATCTGGAAGTATTTGCTACAGGTTAAATTATAATGTAATAATTTTATTTAAAATAAACTATCAGATTTAGTGATTAAAAATAATTACTTAAGCTTAATATTTTATAGTAGAATTTATTTTATAAAAAACATTATTTTTAATAATTTTTTATTTTTAATTAATTTACTTGCCATTAAATTTTATTTTGTTAAAAATTGATTATTAATTTGTCAGCTGTTTAAATGTCCTTGTAGAGCGTATTATTTTTCGCATAAACTATTTAATGGGAAATTTAATGGTAAATTAAAAAGAAAAGAAAAGTGAATCCTATTGAGGGGCCAAAAATATTTACTAAATTATATAGACAATAAAAAAAAAAATATTTTGAAAAATAATTCAGCTTAAACAACTGCTTTAAATACAGACTTGTCTCCTACCAAAATTGGTACTTTATTTTTTTTAATTTTTGGTTTCGCTCCATATAATATTCTATTACTATAGAAATGTGCCCTCATTAAATGACACAATCAAGAATCACTCACTAGACTGGCAGTGTCCTTTCGCATTTTACTACGAAACTAATCTTTTAAGCCTTTCTCGGAAATGCACAAAATCCGAAATTACATACTCAGGAGACATTTGCATTGCTCTCGTTATTAACAGCATAATATGCTTTTATCTCCCCGCACAAGTCTCTAAGTCTCTTTTCAAATTGCAATAAATTTGCGCAAAACCCCAACGCACACACACAAACGTGCAAAATCATAAGACTTAATGCTGCTTATCAGCTCCTTGCGGAACGCCTGTCATCAAGACATTAACTCGCACAAGGATCCCCCCACTGACTGCCTGCCGCCTGCCGCCCCATCCACTCATAATAAATTGCAACAAATTTTGGCGGTTTGCAGCAAGACTTCCGCTGCTGCAGCCACAAATGAAGTGACTAATGCAATTATGCTTTAATTTGTGGCATGCAGCACGAATGCCCTCTTAAAATATGTTCAACGTTTCCGCAAGGTGCAGCGCGCGAGAGAGCGAGAACTAGAGATGGCAATAAGTTTTGGTTGGCACATGGAGATGCGTGGGGACAGAATGTGCTCTCATAATTATCATCCAGAATTTAACACAGAGACAGACAAATATTTCATTATGAAAATACCCTAAATGAAAAGTCTTACTCTGCGTACGTAGCCATCTTAGCCTATAAAAACGTTTAGAAAATACTTTCAAAAACTGAGTTGTAATTTGCTGTTCTGTTTGCTGCCCCAAAATGTTTTTCCAAGTATTCTAAAAATTCTCTTTTCGGTTTCATGTTGCTACTAAAATTCCCAGCGACCGCGCCCAGCTCTAGTTCTAGTGCAATGGAGGACAGGAAACTTTTACGCCGGCATTTGACAAAATACATTTACACTTTGATTTCCGTGAAAGGGATAGCTGTAGAAAATATGTAGAGAAGTGCGAAAAGAGGTTGGGAGGGATGCACACCCCCCACAAAAACAGATGGAACGAAGGAAACGAGATGACAGTTAAATGTGCAATGCAGTTGAAGTTCTCTCATCCTCTGCCTCTGCCTCTCCCTCTGCATCGTTCAACGCAGAAAGGTGAGGCCCTGTCATAGACGTGCACACGTACCAGCACATCCATCCTGCATGGGCTGGGCTGAGCATGCTCTTGTGCGTGTTTGTGTGTGGCAAATGGTGTGCAATCAAATGGATGTTGCCATGGCACTGGCACCCATAAAAACCAACAAGAAGAAGAAGCGAAGGAGGAGGAGGAGGTACCTAAAGTGGAAGGTAAAGTGGAGGCGGCTCTGCTTGAGGAAGCTGCAACTCATGCAACATTTAACCAACTTTTAATTATCGTACTTGAGCCACAAGTCAATTCAAGGCAGGACTGGAACTGCATACCAGTGCTGCATGGCTTCGACTAGAACTAGTTCGTTGCATATCTTTTTACATTGAACAAAAAAAAAATATGCGGCTGGTTTTATGGCAAAACCGTAAAAGCCATATGCCAAGATAAGTGCATCACTTCCTCGAGTTCCTTGTGCTGCTCGTAGCTGGCTGAATTTGTAGCTATTTTATATATGAATATCCATCTTCGCCATACAATTTTACAACGTCATCAAGTCCCGACTCCCTTTTACACAGTCATTTGCCAAAATTAGCCATTGAACTAGTTCAGTGGCAAAATTCGAGGGCACAACTTCCACCTAATGCTGAGTGGTAAAAGAGCAATCATGCAAGGCTACGAATGCACATACATACATACCTACTCGTACTCGTACTTGTACATATTTATGTAGATGCATTTGAGCTGAGCAACTGCAGCTAACTGTCTGGGAGCTCCATGGCACATACACACAGCACAGACAATTTTCCGACTGAGCTTGTCAGTTTGTACAGTTGGCTTTTCTTAACTTTTTCCCCAATGCTAAATGCTCTAATTACGCCTAATGGAATACCCAGACGAGCACACACACACACACACACACACAATTGAATATTCGTTTTATTTGTTGCGAGTGCAGAGGAATGCGCTCTGCCTGTGAGTGTATATTTATTCGAGTATTCTTGACTCTACTGTCTTTTTGCGAGTATACTTCGTACTGTTGGAGTGCAAGGGTATGCTGTGTGTCTAAAGCAGCATCAATACCTATAGTTTTCTATTAAAAAATATGCAAAAATAATCAAACTAAATGCAGATGGAAGAATCTTTATCCATATCTGTAGTATTTACCTCCACTGAGTACAGGGTCATCTTATTGGCGAGCCGCTCTACTTCCCAGTCATCTCTTATCTTCCACTGCACTCTGTGTCTCATTTTTCTTTTGCTCTCTGTGTGCTGCATATTCATGACTTTGTTGCCTGTTCGTTGAGTTTTTAAGCCAATTTCAGTGGCCTGCTCCGAACTGGACAGAGCATTTGCTTTTTATCATCCTTCATTTTATACCATATCCTTTTCGTTTTTTTTTTTTCTGTTTTTAGGATTGCCCTACATACGGTATTTATAAATAAAGCAGAGATTTTTTTTTTACCCCCACTGCATATGTGAGTGGGCTGGAGGGGGTTGTGGAGGGGGGCCCTTCCCACTGCTGGCACCGCGGCAAAAGTTTCACTTTTTTGGGGTTTTCGCAAAAATCTGCATAATTGAAATTTGTTCTAACAATTTAAATGAATATTCCATTGGATGCAATTAAACATTTTCCAAAGCAGCGAAAATGCATTAAAAGTGATATATGAAATGCTGCCATAAAAAAGTTATAAATAAGCTAATGGCAAAGCGGCTATAATTAATTTTCTGCTAAAAAGTAAACATGAAATTTGTGTGCACACTCTCCATAAAAAAAAAAGGGAAAATGTATCAGAAAGTAAACAAGTTTAAAATGAAAAAAATGAAAGAAAATATTTAATTAAAACATATCAAATTAAATAGAAATTTCAAAGAAAAATACTTATAATGTAGTTTTTGATGCACAAATAACATCTATGGGTAGGAGCAGCAGCAGAGCTATCAGCATTGAATTTTCGTATATGTACATATTAGAACCGATACTAATATGCGATAAATTACTACAAATCGTTTGCCATGGTACAGGCATAAAGTTAGCGTTTTGACGCTATGTCAAAATGTATGGAAATGCAATATCTAAATTTTAATAGGAATATATTCAGGGACGAAGAAGAGACTACAGAAGTACTTAATTTTTGTGATGAGCGGCAGCAAATGGCATTGAAAATGTTACCAAAAATTCGAATTGCAACTCCCAAAAAGTCATATGGAGTCATACGCAACTTATACATGCTCAGTCCAAGCCAAACCTAACCAACAGCAGCAACAGCAATTCGTACCTTATCGCACAGCAAGCGAGCAAAGCCCAAGCAAAGCCCGAAGGCAAGGCAAGCCAAGCAGCCAGCACCGCACCAAACTCTTCTACGCGCATACTCTTATACGCTGATAGTCGCCAGTCGGCTGTCGGCTGTCGGCAGCAGAGGTAGAAGCGCCAGCAGCATAAAATATACCGTCCGCTGCGCTTTTGGGCCATTTCTCTCTGCGACGCCGTCTGCCTCGTGTCTCGGTCTTGAAGCGTGTGTGCCGCGTATCGCGTCTCGTCTGGGTTTTCTCGTGTCTCGTGCGCCCCAAAAAATAAGCCATTAGTTTTTTGGTGGCAAAAGCGCGGCTGCGACGGGCAGCAGCAGAATAGGCAATAGCAACAGTCACAATAATCGACAAAACGGTAAATGCAATAATAGAAAAACGAGCGCAGCGATTGGCGCAACGGCAAACGCTAAACGCAAAAGATAATCGAATTCAATTGAATGGAAAAGAATGGCTAGAAATTATATTATTATATGGCAAAGAAAACGTACATTTACCGGTCAATTGTATTCCAATCCCCCCACCCCAAGGTCCCCACAAGCAAAAAGAGAAAGAAAAAGAACACTCGAAAATGAAAGTGAAAGAACAAACAGAAATTAAACAAAATTCTACTAAGAGAACAGCCAGAAATAAACGAAACTACACAAATAGAAAAACTAAATTAATTTTTGATAAAATTCCACCTGTTGTGTTCCACCCAAAAGAAAACCGACACAAAAAATCAAAAGAAATTCATGCTATGAAAAAGTCTTATCTTATCGGGCGGTATTCCATGCGTATGCGTGATGCTTCCTATGGGTCTACTCAACAGCTGTGCCTTACTTTCCCTTCTTCCCTTCTTCCCAGACATCAACCAAAAATAAACCCAATGAAAGCTATAACAAATTTGGATTTGGTTTTTGTGCGAATTGAATTAACATCTATTAAGTGCGCTGCTCATGATGTAATTCCCGTCAAACGCTTCAGATGACAATTGTCAGTAGCTTTGGCCTGGAAAGTGCAGCCAGCGTCTAATCAGAGTATAAACCTGATAAAGGCCATTCATGGATAAGATATATTCGGCAAATAAACAAAGTTAAATGAGGAATGTGTCAATGAGAACCAGTTATGAATGACTTAAAGAAGTTCTTAAGAAGTTTCTATAGTTTGTTAGAGAACATTGATGCATTGGTACATTGATTGATGAGGCACGGGGTACTCCAGTAAAATTGTCTTATTAAATCAATAGCTTTCTGTTTTATTGATTTATTAAAAACTTGTTTGGGAGTGGCAATCAAGGCCAAGTTTGTATTTTATTTTATTTTATTTTATTTTTTATTTGTATGTCAAGCTCAAAGTTTTGCTTCATTCTTGTTTGGAGCTCATAGGCAGAGTAATATTGCTTTAAAATGCCATTAAATGTTGTCTCAGTAAATAAACATTAAATAAACTTCAGTGGCGAACTTTTCAAACAAAAACTATAAAAATTTCCCACAATTAAGTTAATCCTTCGCTCAATAGAAACAACAACAGTCAGCAAGCAACAATTGTAAATAATATTTAAGTATTAATTCAAATTATATAAACACGGCATACGATAGAGAGCAAATCGCCTGTGAAATTAATAGGAGCAAAAAAAAAGAGCATTAAAAACCGAAAGCAAACCATTCAATGCTCCAGATAATCATTTTGCATTCATGCAGCGGTCTAATTAAAAACAATTACATTAAATTAAACAGAGTTAAACAATTAAACAGCACAGCACACACATTCAAGCGCATTGGGAAAGTGAGGGTGAAAATTTTACAAAAAAAAAATATAAATTCGCAAGCGATAAAATCCGAACGCAAACCAAAATGGAAACAGATCTGGCAATTAATCATTTTGTTTATACGCATATCAATGATTCTTAATGTTCTGTTTTTCCCGCCCCCCCATTCAGTGTAAACCGCATAATTAATTGCCAACACGAAAAGTAACTAAATAAATACCGAAGTGAACGTGATACGTCCTCAACCCACATAACAGATACAAATAAATATATAGATACATATTATCCAAAGAGCAGCTGTCTGTCCACAATGCGTCGCAATATCAAATTGATTGTCTTCGTCAGCATCATTTGGATGTTTGTGATGGTCTACTACTTCCAGTCCAGCACCGAGAAGGTAAGTGCCAAGCACAAAACTGAAGAGTCTACTCAGAACTCAGAAAATGTATACCCCACGGGGGGGCAATAACTCCAAGAAGTTTCAATATCATTTAATCAGAAAAGAAAACAAAAAATATCTGATATCTAAACTGTTCGTCTGAACTATTTTGTAGTCTTCCAAGATCTACTGAGGTTCCACTCCACTGCTTAACTTCAATTATAGAATATATTTGGCACAGTTTTCACACGAATATACCCTTACATTCTACGCGTAAAAAAACCTGCAGCACTTCTTCAAAGTGTGCTCTACTTATCGTTTTTATTTTTATTTATTTATATTTTTTATTCATATTTTTGTGGCACACTTTAGAAGGTGGCAGTTCCTATGTCATCAGGGTACCTGTATGGCAACTTAAGGGGGCTGCTTGAAACCCTCAACTGAAAGTGGCAGCAACCCTTTTATGTGCTTTTGCTTCTTCCTCTTCCGCTTCATCATCATCATCTTTCATAGCTGTAACGACGGCAGTCAGTCGCGTGGTCCGTTGCGTATGCTGTGGCCTGCATAGTAATTATTTGATTGCCACCCAACTATGGCCAGCCAGCTACCAACTTGATATTCCATTGTTTTCTCTTTCCTCCTATCTTTCTCTTTGCACATAATTAGCCGCACGTATTGGGAGGTGCCATCGCAGCGCTTCGCACTCCCCTGACTGTCTTTTTCGTTGCTACTTGTACAAGTTTTAATTAAGTTTTTTTTTTTTTTTTTTCGGTTGTCATTTTGCAGTCATATAAATGTCTCTTACGGAGTGCGTTTGCGGGTTATTTATTAGGGAAACTGTGACAGTTTTCAGTTGTGGCAAAGTTAGCAAATGGGGGTCCGTCCACCTGTGCAGGTGTTATTCTTATCTTTTTCGCTTTGTATTCTCATTTATTTGTGTGGAAAATAATTTTAAAAAAAATGTATGCTAGTGGGGTAAATGGCAAGCGGACTGGCTAATATTACTGTCTGTTGGCATAGGTAAGATTGTCCATAGATTGTGGGCTAACCATCATTTATCTACCTTTAACCTTTTCCACACTCTTAGACTCTTATCATTCCGTTTCCATTATCTTGACAAATTTTCTATTAACAAGCAATTTCATTTGCCATGCACTCTCGTTTCCAATTGAATTTTGTTTAGTTTATTTTCGTACTGCAAAATTATTCCAACAAGTCAGTTTGTTTCAAGAGATTCTATATTTTCTTTTGTGTGCTGCCGCAATTTATTTGTCTCATCCCCTGCCACATGTGGACTTCAGTTGAAATTTGGTTTCTGCTGTTTACTTATTTATCCGACCAACAGCGACAACAAATTCCATTTGTGTGTGTGTGTGTGTGTGTGTGTGTGTTTTCTGCTGAAAAATAAATATCCCACCAACACGAACAGGAAGGAGGAAAATCTCTCACCCACCACCACCACCACCACTCACATGATGGGAAAATGTCAATTTATTTCTGCAATTTCCAGTTTATATTGTACTTTTATTTCTTGTAGCGGGCGGAACAGGGAAATTACATACTCAATAAAATAAATAAAACAAGTCCATGACATGACATGACGCTTACATGAAGCAGGGGGGAAAAATTTGAACCGCTTGCAGCACTTTTATAAATGTTTTTAATTGTGTTAAGCGAAAAAATCCTTTCAATTTATTGACCACTTTGAGAGCCTGCTCGGGAATTCATGGCGTTCCGCTATCTGCAGAAAACAAGAACAACTTGAAGCTCTTGTTTTTCGAAGGCTTTGGAAAATTTTAAAAATGATAACATCAAAATTTTAAATAACATTAAAAGCCTTTGGCAAGGCAACTGACAGGCATTTCCATAAACGAACAGAAGCAACACAAGTATGTGCAGGGCAGGGCTTTCCATGCCTCGAATTTTGCATACCCATTAGTTGGGATTTTATGTTGAATTATTGTGGAATATTATAGTAATATGTAGTAGTATTTTTTCCCTGTCTTTTTTCATTGTTACCTCGCCTTTGCTTTGCTGTTAGTAACTACTAACTGGGCTTAATCTAGTCATCTATATCCCGACAATATATTTAATCTTTTCGGTTTCCATAACCATGTAACCCTTTTTCGCTGCAAGTACAGCGTACAAAATCGTGTTAATTGGTTTGGGTGCGGATGGGGGTGTTAAGGTGAAAATTCATCAAGTGTCACGTGTGTGTGTGTGTATGCCCACATATAATAAGTGTGAAAAAGCAATTCAATAATACTCTGTTAATTACACTTTTGATCTTTGCAATGATTTTTAAATTGAGGAAAATAATAATTATGGAAAATGGAAATGTCTGCGTGCCACCGGAGTGGCCACCAGAGTTTAAAATGTGAAAACGTAAATCTGCAAAATGAATCCGATTATGGAGATTTATATACATAAATGTACATACATTTGTACATACATACATACATATATGATGTACATATGTATGTACATACTTGTGTGGCTTACAGGCATACGCCATCAGCGTCATCGGTAGCTTTGGGTCCTCTTACTCGCTCTCACTCTCTCTCTATCTCTGTCCCTCTGCACATTTTCCCACTGACAATCATCTTCTTTTTTTGCCACCGCACCGAAATAATTTTTCATGTACATATGTATGTATGTAAACTTGATTTATTTTCCTTTTTCGCTGTGAATAAAATGCAGGAAGTGCACGGACTGCATTCACTGCACTCGGTCATTGGTTTTAGTGATTTTAACCACCACTTTTTATAGCCTGTCCCCCTGGCTTGGACCAAGCTTAATTATTATTATTATTATTTATTTTTGGACAGGCTAAATTAAAGTTGGTTAACTTTTCAGATAAGATTAAGATTGCTCAGAGATTTATGAAGTGCATTTTGCAGAGGTAGCGAACGCGAAGAGATGGGTTGTCCAGCAGGGGAACTTTGTTTTATAATCTTTGTGCACAAGTTTCCACTTGAGTGTGAGATTGAGCTAAGACTCGAATAGACCTATTGATAATATTGATAGGTCAGGTATTTTGAGCTAAAATCAGCACTTCAGCGTTGATTAGTTCTAGCAGCGAAATTTTAAGTTAATTGAATGGGTAATCTGAAGCAACTTGAAGTTTGAAACCACTGCTCAGCGAACTATATATATTATGATCCGATTGGCTTTGAGAATGTTTAAAGATTACTGAATAAGAGTGATCGCAAAAGGATGTTCGACAAAGATATTTATTAAGCCATCTTAATTTATTTGTTAGCATAAAAATTAATAATAAATTAATTCACTGACATTTAGTTAAAACTGTTTTGAAAGTGCAAACTGTATTTGCTTTTGAGTCAATAGCATTACTTCATCTGTAATTGACTGCATTGTTTCCCATACCCATTCCCATTCCCATTGATCGTTAATCATATATTTTGCCCAACTGAACTTCCACTTTACTTCCACCAAAAATAATGCTTCCCACTGCCATCGATTATAATAGCAACGTATCGATGATGAGTTAACTCTTCAATTTGCCATTCAACGACATTTCATTCATAAAACTGTATCGAAGTTTTATGCGCTCTCATGCTCCCATCCCTCACCCCACACACACGACTCGATACGTAATCGTCAAGTGAGTGTCGAACAATTTTTGAAAGGAAAAAGTTGCACACAAGTCAATCACACATTTAATTTAATTTATTTGTTAGCAGCAGGGCGGCGTTGCTTACATAACGAATTGATTAGTCTTTGCTTTGCCTTTATATTTGATGGCCTTTTTTTTCGGTTTTGTGCGTTAATTACTTTGGTTGGGCGCTGAGAAGTCCCGCAGCTTCTCGAAAGAGTTTCCAAAAATGCGCTTTCTCCTTTCTGTCGTAAACATTTCTTGGCTTCCGCTTTGGGGTTACGATACATGTAGAATGGTTAAGAAAGGTGCATCTAAATAGCTGAACGTTGTGATTAGTTGAGAGTTAATCAACGGGCATTTATGTAGAAGCGCAGCAGAAAACGTAAATTATAAAAATATAATTATTATAGTTATAAGATCAGGGAAAATTACGGAACAAAGTTCAGGAAAAATCCAAACCCAGCCGAAGCTGGGGGGCACTTCCGCATGACCATGGTGACTATATATGTATGTATGCTTTCCCATCCATATTTATGCATAAATTGTGTATTATTGTGTATGCAAATATATGTGACTGCTACTTGGCAATATTATTTCATATGCTTGACACTCGAAGACATCCCAGCATCGTTTTTGGTCCATATGCAAATGCTGCCCCATCATAAATGCAAATTCTGACAGAAACTTTTTCCCTCAAGTTTTTTCCATTCCAATTTTGTCGCTTGCAGCTTTCGCCCACTGCTACGCTGTGCTGGGCTGGGATATCTATTATAACAACTTCCATTTAACTTTTATGGCCTTGCCAAAAGAGCCAGAAAAAAACGAGTCAAAATGTGCTATAAATACTCGTAAATACATTTATATATTTCAAGTTCAAACGAAAATGCCTGCAGAGACCTTAACGCATCATGAGTTCGATTTATGGCGCTGCATATCACAAAACCCAAATTTGTATACAGATACAAACAAAAAGAGAAGTTAAATCTATATATTACGGCAGCGAGTGGCGAAGGGAGAGGAGAAGGGAAAATAAAAAACAGAAAAAAACATTCGCGTGACAGAGCACAAGTTACGCTCTGGTTGACAATTCCAATCGCATTGCCAACAACAACAACAAAAAACTCACTTGAAAAGAATGTCAAAGATCCAATAGAAAAAAAAAAAAATGGTAATTTGCTCTTAAAAATGTTTGAAATTAACATTTTGGTCGCTGGAAATTAATTTCAATTAAATTCAATAGATGATGACGGAGGCTGATCGGACTTGAGAGAGAGTCAAAACTGGTTTCCCAGAAATGGTTAAACTTAGGTCGGTGGAACTGCAAGAAATAAATTTTAAATGAATGAATCTGAAGGTCCGAGCAGCCGTTGGGCTATTCTGGGAATCAATGAAAGTGGGA